CCCCAAAACCCCAAAACCCCAAAACCCCAAAACCCCATTTGTAAATTAAGCAATTGAGATTAAAGGAAGAACAATGTGGGTTTTGAGGCAAGGGGATAGAGGAAGGTTAGAGCCCGAAGGTTTGGGTGTCAGCGGGTGGGGTTACTTGGGAAGGATTTTTGGTCTTGGCCAGTCTGAGTTGGTGGGTCTTGTGGAGATTGAAGATGAAGTCGTTTTGTTGGATGTAGTCTTCTTTGAAGTATTGTTTTATGTATTTTTTCTCTTTTTGGTACATTTTGTCGATGAGGCCTCTGACAGTGTCCTGGGGTCCTTTGAGGAGGGCTGAGTTGTGGGCTGAGTTATCGGAGGGGATCATTGAGTTGCTCTTTTTATGGGTGATTCTTCCTGGAGGATCATTCCTAACTCCTATTTCTCCTAAAAGATGAGCGTAATCTCCTTTGGTATAATTTACAGAGAGATCATTCTTATGATGCTTGGCCATGCTAGAAGTAGATGGCTTTTCTTTTCTCTTTTTATCAACAATATTTATTCTAAATCCTCCTGCTCTACCCTTAGTGATCTTCTTCTTGTCCATAATTGTGGAATTAGTGGCATTCAGAAGTGATTCAAATTCTTGTTCAGGAGGAGACTGAAGAAGATTCCTCTCTATATCCTGCCTTGATGTCATGTTAAACTGAGATTCATCTATCTCATTCACAATTTTATTTGTAAAAGGAGCAGGTTTAGATCCTCCTTTAAACCCTTTTCTTGGATTCTCATCGATTCGAGGAAGATCTGAGACCAAATCGTATGCTTTGAGCATATGCTTGTAGACTCCTTTCAAAGGAGGTCCCATAGAGAAAGCTCTGCCCATCTGATCATCAGCTATAGAAGACATATCTACAGGTGGATGTACTCCATAACTTCTCTCAGCCTGAGGTATCTCCTTCTTATTAGTATAGCTTGGGTTCTTAAGCTGATGGGGTGCAAATTTAGTATGGATCACTTTAAAAGAGTCTGATATTGAGTTATTTAGCTTAGCCAGAGTTCTCAAACTTGTCAGAATAGAGTTATCTATTCCTTTTGTGCTCAGTATGACTTTGTCGAATGGGTCAAATTTATTTCAAGTTCTGAGAGTTTAGGAGTTTCAATGCCTCATCAAATTCAGCAGTAGCTAAAGATTTATTCAAAAATTACCTTTGTCGACTATCTCAGCTCGCTCTGGAGTCATCAAAAAGTTTAAGAATTGAGGGTTTAGACTGATGGAGTTTTCCTTTTCATAAATATTCTCTTGATCTTTGTTCAGAAAAATTGTGAATCTAGGAAATCTTCTGAACCTTTTTGGAGAGAACTTGTTAATATTTCCAGGTTGAAAACCTTCTACTACCATTGATTTGCTTTCCGAATGAGCAACTCTTTTTCGAGGTTTCCGACTCATCTGAGAGTAAAATTTTGGATCTACGTTATTTTTAACTTTCTTTTTAGGCTTTTGGCTCTCATAAGTTCTATGTAATCCACTTTCAACATATTCAAAATGAGCCATTTGATGAGCTCTCTCCTCCCTAGAAACTTCTTTGGATGCCTTTTTAAAGACAACTCTTGCTGGTTTCTGGGATCCTCTACTATCAACATCTCTTTCATGGTCATATCTAGGATCATCTTCTCTTTCAGATTTATCAATAGACTGATATTCATGATCCAATTCTCTTTGCCGTGGCACCTTTATGGGGTACTTAATAGTATCTTGCTCTTCTTCAGATGAAGATCTATTCATTTGTAAAGTATTTTCAATTTCATCCAAAATCGCACTGTTTGTACTCTCATCCATCGGAAAGGTAAGATCCTGGTTTTTAGGTACGAGTTTAATTTTCCTTGGTCTCATTGCCTTTAATTTGTCCTTACTTGCAAATAGAAAGTCAGTATTCTTTGTATTTCAGAACTTAATCAGCTTAAAATTATCATCCGTGCTGTTCTTGACTTTCTTTACAGAGGATGTTACAGAAGGTTGCTGATATAATGGCTTTCTATCAGTAGGTCTTGCTTTACCATAATCTTTCACTCCTGATTCGCTTGGAGCAATAATTTGCTTAAATCTTTCATTAATCAGAGTTAACTTATTAACCTGGTTTTGAAGAGCCTCGTTAAGTCTTTCTTTCTCAATACCTCTAATTGATTGAATAGAGCTCAAATAGGAATGCTTGTATTTACTCTGAGGCTTTATCTCTTGCTGTGTTTCTTCTTCATAACTTATGCCTGGGAGTCTGGCAATCTTGTCAGCAAGACCTTTGCCGAAAATATTATTTTCTTGATCAGATTCAGATGAACTTCCTCTTTTGTCATTATTTATTTATCATCTTCATGATTTCGTCCTTGTTGCTGAATCTTCTATTTCTGTAATCATGAATAAGTGGCTTACTTGACTGTGGAGAATGCTTTAGACCTCTCTGTGTACACATTCAGCTTGCTAGATTGTTATTTGGTGCCTAAGATACCTATTCTTATTAGCTCTTTGAGAGTCTCTTTTTGAATAAATTGGGTGTTGGCTTGAACTACCGATATTATCTGTTTTCTCAGAAGCTGTCTCTGGAATCATTTGACTTCTGTTCACCTTAGAAACCTCCTCATCACTGTTTTGAGATGCCTGAATGTGACTCCTATTGTTTACTTTATTTAGGGTTGATGTTATTATTGACTAAATTTCTCCAGAATAAATTATTATCTTTCCTTCCATTATCAACGGTAGAGATCTTAATTTTGACTAAATCTTCTAAATTCTTGGCTTGTTTTAACTTTTGTTGGTTTTCTTCAGTTCATTTTTGGATCTGGTCAAAAATGTCTGTCTCTAGACCTGCATTAGCTCCTTGAAACTGTGTATGGGAGTCCTCAACTGAATTCATATTAATTTTATTTCATTTATACCAAACAAAAGAGGGGTTTTGGGGTTTTGGGGTTTTGGGG